AGATATGCGCGTCCCTGGGCGAAGGGGAAGCAGTGCATTGTGGGCAGGGGCGGCCTTCATCGGATGCCTGCCTGCTGCTCTGGGGACGGCCGTGTGGGTTCCGCCGTCTCCGGAGCACGGCCGAGACCGCGCCAGCCCCGGAGGAGGAGCTGGGAGAGAGGTCGTCAGCCCCGCAAACCTCCACGAGGCCCCTGCAATCTCCACGCCCTGTTTGGTGTCAGGGACCGGACAGCCCCTCCCGAGATCCCTGGCCGGTCAGGAGGCCTGTCCTGGACACAGTTATGGAGTCTCGTGGGGTACACACTCCGTCTGGGCCTGGGAAAGACCCCGCACCTTATCTCCTGATCACCAGGGCTCTTGGCGGAGGCTTCGTTATCACCGCCCCGCCCCCCACCCAGGCCCCAGCGCTCGGAGCTCGCTCCAGGCCCCCTGGTCAGTGAGTGGTGGGGCCAGGGTTCGAGCCTAGGACTCAGCCCCTAAGGCTGCCCACCCGCCTGCTGGTCGCCCACAGCAGTGGCGAGCCCGAGTGGGGCCCTTGCTGAGGCTGGGGAGGGGCTGGGACCTCACCGGCACCTTCGGGTCAGAGTTGCTGGAGCGCGGGAGGGACGGGGGACCCGAGAGTGAGCTGCAGTGCGGACATCTCAGCCCCACCTGTGCACCTCGAGGACAGAGGACGGCGTGTGCCGCCCGGCAGCCTGTGCATTTCAGCACCTCCAGTCTCCCCTCTTGACACTAGGGGGGTGTCAGAGGGAGACCATGCAGGTTCCAGACCAAGAGACAGAAAACAGAGCCAAGACCTGGAGAAGAAATCCCTGCCGCAGACCAGGGAAGCATCGCTGGTATGCATGCGTGTGCACACGTGTGCGTGACTGTTGGGCACCACGGAGTGGTTGAGCCCGGGATGCCTCCTGGGTCGGTAAAACGAGAATGGGGCCCCACCTGCACCTCTGACTGGCCCGTTCAGGTGTGCACTGGAGCTTTGGGAAGGATGGTCCGGCAGCAGGCTCCGGCATGCCCCCCTGTGCCGGACACGTATGCTGGCCTGGGCTCCGGGTTGGGGCCATTTTGCTGCTGAATGCCCAGCAACAAGCAGGTGGCTGTCACCAGCAGGTTTGTTGGATGGATGAATGAACGAACGACCATGTGTCAGGGATGGGGAACATCCGGCCCGAGGGCCGGGTAAGGCCTCAGAATCAGTACCAGCTAACATCACACACCTCACCAATGAGCCCGATCCAATAGAGCAGGCCAATTTTTAAGTTGATGATCGTGTATGACCTGGGAGTGATGTTATAAGTATCTAAATGGTCCTTGGCAGAAAGAAAAGGTCCCCACCCAAACGAAAGTGAGGGTGTGACAAAGGGAGCCAGGGCCTGGGCCCGTGAAGACTTGCAGAGGGGGTCTAGCAGGACCCCAGCTAGGGCCCGACCCTGCCGCCCCTCGCCCGTCCCTGGCTGATGTCCCGGGGGCAGATGGGCTGGTGCACCAGGCAGAGGTGCCCGCGACGGGCCCCAGCAGAAGCCTCCATCCTGAAAGACACACAGCTCCGCCGAGGGGCTGGATCTCGGCCGCAGACCAGCGCCGCCCACCTTCCGTTCCCCCGTTTTATTCCTCTCACCTGCTTCCCGGCCCACACCTGCGTCTCCCTGGCAGGCAGAGGCGGCGCGGGTGCCAGGCGCCCCTCCAGGCGCCTCCAGCTCCCACCCCCACCCACTCCTGGCCTTCATGGTGCTGGGAAGTAACTGTTCATCTGCAGGGTCGGCAGCATCTTTAAAAAACGATTTCCTTCCTTCTCCAAGGGGCTAAATATAGCACAGGCATAAATAGCGAAATAGACATTAAGCCCGAATGCCCTTGTGAGAAGCCTGCCGGGTGGGAGGCACTCTGCAAGAAGGTTTGATGAAGCTCTCGGTCCCTCGAATCCTACTCCCAGTCCTGGGAAGACGTCGCGGCTCTGTTAGGGCTCATCGGCGGTGGCTCCACGGGGAGCGGACCAGCACACAGGCGTGTTGGGTGATTGGTGAGTCCTGGTGACGTCACTGCCACCCCCTCTCCGTGCAGCACCTGGGCTCTCAGGCCCCCCCCCCCAATCTCCTGGGTGGCACTGACCGATGCCCCTCACTGAGCTGCCATCCACGCTGTTCGTCCCACACAAACCTTTGGGTGTCTTGTCTCAGGCCCCTGTGGGGGGTCAGCCCAGCTGGAGTCTCCCCCTCCCTCTACTGTGCCCAGAGCAGAGCATCCGCAGAGCATCCAGCAGGTGCTTAATAATACAGTGCTGAATATATTCTGGGGCCCAGCCGCCCGGGGCCTCGCGTGTCGACATCTCCATCTGCCATGACATCCTGGGCCTTTGTTCGCCTTGTGCCTCTGAACCTCTTGGAGGAAGTTCTTCGAGTCGGTCCGAAGAACTCGCTGCTGCTGCTCCGCACGCGGGGAGGCTGGCTGTTTCTACCTGCCCGCGGGCGTTTCCTCGGGGTGGCCCGGCGTGGCCCTGCCTCCGGGATCTCTGTGCGTGGGCCCCGCATGAGCCCCTGTGTGCTCCACTGGCCGTTCTTGGTGCCCTGGCAGCCCATGGCGGTGGGGGTGGTCCTTGAGGGTTTGTGGAGATCAGAGATCCTCACCCTGGTTTCCTGCTGCCCTTGGACGGAGGCCACATTCAGGACAGTGGGGGCCTCCGGTGTCGAGTCTGGACTCCCCGGGCCTCGGGGGCCTTGGCTGGGACGGCCCCACCGTGCCTGCCCCTGCCTCCTCCCACCCCTCCCTTTGTCTCCGCCGTGCCTCCCACTCGGAGCGCCCCCCTCTTTCCAGGCTGCACCCCGTGGCTCACGCCCTCCCTGCCCTGATTCCTGCAGAACTCGACTGTCTCCTGGGTGCAGGCCGAGGAGCCGCACCTCGGACAGGGAGAGGGCTCCACGTCTGTCTCCTAGCGTGCCTCCGCTCCCTCCTCGAACCCCACCAGTAAAGGAGGGCCTGGCCACGCTGGGCAGCGTGACCACGTGGCGCTGTGGTGACGGGCTGTTGGCGGGCGGTTCCTGGGCCGCTGGGCCGGGCAGAGTGTGCCCAGCGCTGGGCTCATGGTGGGGGCGCCGAGAAAGGAAGTGAGCCCCCGCCGGCAGCGCAGGGGACACGTGGCTGGGTGTGAGGTGGGCCGAAGGGCCTCGACCTCCAGGGGCTGCAGGGATGGGCTGTGACCTTGTGACAAGACAACCTCAGGGTGGCTGGCTGGGAGGAGGGGAGAGGAGGTGGGAACAGAGTCGGCAAAGGCTTGCGGCTAGGAGGGTGGTTTGCTGGGGTGGTCGGCTCCCTCAGGACCGGCTGGCTGGCCCTGCACAAGTGCCAGAAGAGGGGCCTCGGCTGGAGGGTGGGCGTTCCCATGGAAACGGCTGCAACCCATCTGTGGTCTCAGACAACCCGCCTGTGCTCTGGGTCCATGACAACCCCGCCGAGGTGCCAGGCCATGCTGGCAGAGTGTGTGTGTGTCTGGTGTGGAGTGTGGATGATCTGTGGACGGGGGTGCTGGGAAGCCTGCGCTCTTGCCCAAGCCCCTAGATCTCTCGGGCTCCAGTTGCCTGGTTCTCTCCTGCTTCCTAGCTGGGTGACCTTGGGCCAGTAACTGAGTCTCTCTGAGCCTCATTTTTCTCGTCTTACCTGTTGTGAGGAGTAAAAGAAATGTACCTATAACAGCACACAGCACGTGGCCTGCCAGCCACCAGCCACGTGGCCTGCACCCAGGAGCCCAAGAAGGAGGCCGGCCGTGGCTGCTGTCTGAGCTACAGGCGACAGCAGGCATCTGGTGTCTGAGGACGGGCACTGCCTCTTCCTGGCTGGGCGCTCGCCAGAGGGGGTGAAATCACCACGGGGCAGCAGCAGTGCCTACAGTGCGTTGCGCCTGTGATGGGCCCGCCCGGGGTTAAGGGTGCCCTCCTGCCTCGCAGCGAAGCCTCAGGCGATGGCATCCCCCTGTGGCCCTCACTGCCTAGACCTGGAGCCCAGGAGAGCCGCAGTGCCGCAGCTGACCCCTGGTGGTCATCGACAGAGCTGCAGGTGCGTGCTCCCAGCCCCTCGGGGTGGCTGAGCTGCCTGGGCCCCCACGTCTGGGGAGGCAGGAGCATCTCTGAGAGGCTGCACCCCGTGGCTGGAGGTTCTGTGCTGCCCCCAAGCAGTCTACTCTGCCCCAGGTAGATTTTGTTCTTGTCATGAGGTTGAACACCACCTGAGGCTTTGATGAGACGGTGTAGATTTGGAACATGGACCACTGAAAAGAAACAGAAAAACCGCAGGCTCCTAGATCCCGCCCCCAGCCCAGGCACGGCGGGCCTCTCCCTGTCAGCTGCGGTGAGGGGGGGCGTCTGGCCAGAGGGTCGCCTGGGCCCTGGCTTCCCAGGTGGCTTTGGCCAGACTACACCGTGTTGTTCTGGCCAGAGCTGTCATGTGACTGAGCGGGCAGGCGTCCTCCTTCAGTGCCGTCTCTGCTGGTCACTGTCCCCTGCCTGGGCCGCGGCACCACACTGCTCGGTGCTTCTTGGCTGGAGAGCTGCTTGGCATGTGCCCTCCACTGGGCTCAGCTCGGCCCCTGGGAGGACTGAGAGGGGGACCTGGGGGCAGCCTGCAGGCGGTCAGACATAATTTCCTCCTCATCATTAGAGCAAAAGGGAGCTGGAGAGGTGAACAGGGATGTTTGTAATTCCTATTGCCTCCCCTTTCCTTCCATATAGCCAGTCCCCATAGTCAGACCCAAATGGTCTAAAAAATAAAAAAAAACAAGACAATTTAGAGGGAGTCCAGGTTGGCAGCCACGGGAGCCGCTCCCCGGGCCCCACATCGATGCAGCGTCTTGGCAGCTGCGTCCCCGGCGCACTTCTTCCCCGTTGCATTTTGTTTGGGAATAATCGCAACGCTTTTCTGCGGCTCTGGGCGTAAATGCACTGAGTGGGAGGGGACGGGCCGGCTCTCCATTCTTCTGCCCTCATGCGTGTCTCCTTTCTTCGCCTTTGCAGAATCACACGATGAGCCAGCACGCACAGTGAGGGACCGCTCGACAGGACACCTCTCCGCAGAAGGCTTGCCGGAGACGCCGTGCGGAGGGCCATTTGAACATTACATCCAATCAAAGTGTCATTTGCAACCCAGATGTAAAACTCTAATGATTTGGCCATGAGGCGCTGCTATTATAAGCAGCTGGAAATGAATATTAATGGCAGAGATTAAAAGTATTCCATGCTCAGTATTTTTTATTGCCCCGCTCCATCCAGCTAGTGTGCTTTTAGAGTTTCTGCCGCAGACTACGTTTCTAGAGTTAGAGAAACCCGCTTTTTCAGCCTATTGTCCTTTGTTCCTTCATGTATTATATTGATAGTTTTTAAAAAAAAGAATTAGTGTGATTTTTTTTTTCCTTTGCTTCTTTTTTCTTTCTCTCTCGTTTTTCTCCCCGCCCTCTTCGGTTAACTACTTTTTAATTGCAGTTCTAGGTAATTGTGCATCGTGACGTGACTGTTTGGCTGTTGTCTGGATATTTCCTTTTCGTTTTTTAATTAAAGACGAATGCTTTGATTGGATTTGCCAGTTCACCGGACAGTGATTAAAACTATGTAATGAATATAATCGGTTTCAGTGCGACTGGATGGTCTGCTTTTAAATGTGACTGAATCTGACCGCGGTAACTAGTGCAGTTCAATAAAGGGAATCACCAGATCGGCATCGGCTGCCTGGTTCTCTGCTCCCCAGCCGGGGCCGCGGGGGAGGGGCTGCTGTCACCCCTGGGGTGTGTCCTCAGAGCTGCTGTGAGATCGCATGTGCCCCAGGGACCAGCACACAATAGCCCGAGCTTCCCTTGGAAAAGAAGCATAGTAACAGTACAGGCTCACGGTCTGGGGGTGCTGGTGCTGGCCACGAAGTCAGAGTGGAGAGCACCCTCACAGAGAGATATTCAGGTCTTCTCTTTTATGGATGGGGAAACTGAGGCCCCAGGGGACGTAGGCAGCTTTTCCAAAGCCATGGAGCAGACAGTGGCTCATACACTGACTCACTTTGTTCCTTGTTTCTCCCCCGTGGGAGGCTTTGCGGGATGCTGGTGTGGGCGGTCACATGGTTAACCCTTACCTGGCCAGGCCTCCACGCATGGGGACAGGCAGGGGCTGGGGGCTACAGATTGGAGCCAGGTAGGAGCAGGAGGTTCCCCATCACAGAGGTTCGTGGGATGTGGAGGTGCAGAGACCCGTGGCAGGTCCAGGACTCTGGAGGGGCAAATAAGGTGCTGAGGGCAAGAGCCCCAGTGGGTCCCCGTTCTCAGGGGCCACCTGCATTTGCAAGCCCTGAGAATGGGTGTCTCCTGGCCCTGCTGGAACCCCGGACCACCCAGCCACCGTGGTCTCCCACGAGCCACCCTCCCACACCTGCGTCAGGCTGGTGCTCGGCTGACTCACCAATCAGAGGCCAGGGCCTCGGAACCTGCTCGGGGAAGCCCTTCCTTGTTAACTTTTCACAAGAGGCAAGAAAATTGGTTATTACCCTCTGAAGAGCGGAAATGAAACAGGCACCTAATTATAACGTGATACTAAGTCACGGGTGTAGAATTTGGAGCAATTAGACCCAGCATCTACTGATTCCCAAATCCAGGGGCTTCCAGTGATCTGGAAGGTTCCCCTTTCTGCCTCCTCGGGTCACATTCTCACACCGGTGGGGCGTCTCGTTTTCCCAGCAGCACGTCACACCCACGAGTCACAGACTCGCTAGCACTTGACACATGGAGCAGTTGCCCCTAACGGTCAGGGCTCTTGCCTCCTGGAAGCCGAAGGGAGCGAACTCCGATTTTTAGCCCCCTGGAGACTTGGCCGTTTTCGGGGGGGGACCTGAAGGTAGGCGTCAGTATTCCCCAAAGTGTGGCTGAGGCTGGGTTGGGCGGCCCTGTGTCCACAGCCAGGCCTGCCGTGCGGACGGGGCCCAGACTGTGGACAGGACTGCAATTCCCGGACTTCCCAGATCACTGTCCCTGGGCCCCTCCAGCCCGGATTCATCCCGAACCCCGTGGAGCCCAGGTGAGTCCTCAGTAAGTACCAATAGAAGATTTGATTTGACGGTTGGTGGCGTAGGGCTAAATTAGTCACTGCCCCCATTAAAGATGCAGCGGGGGGGTTAAGAGCTTTTCACGCCATGTGGGAATCAGCAGTGCAGCCGGCGGATGCCTTGGGTAAGGAGAGAGGCGGCCTAGGGGACCACGAGGTAATGAGGTTTATGGCGATGGCAAGGCAGCCCGGGAACCCCACCGACTCCCCCTCTCCCAGCCCCATTGTTCTCAGGCTGGCTCTGCCCCACCCCTTCTGCTGAGAGCCCCTCGTGACTCCTCGCAGGGAACGGCTCATGGGGGCCCTGACTGGGACTGGAGTTGTCACCATCAAGCAGTATGTGGCTGGCAGTGGTGTAGGTACACCGGTGCTGTGGGGACACCCACCTCGTCCCAGCTGGAGGATTTGGAGCTGGGATGAGCCACATTTCTGCTGCGGCCTGAGGGACCTGGACTAGTCCCTGGGAGGCTTACATGAGATGATGCCCTGGAAGGACCGAGGCCCCAGAAGTGGCATGGGCATTACTAGGAGGAGGATGACGCCGGGCTGCCCCACGGGGGCGCCTTCAGCCCAGAGGGTGTGATGGAGTCAGGCCCTACTGTCTGGGCGTTGGAGCAGGATGCAGCAGTGGGAGCAGGTGAGGTGACTGGAAACCGAGGCTCCACTGTCACTTCTGCATGTGTCCAGTGGCCCCGTGGGGGCAGGGATCTTGCTCAGGCTAAGACATGGCCCAGGACCCTGGGCCTCAGACCCCTGTACTGGGTACCTATCTAGAGCTTCCAGAAGCAGCTGCATAAGGGTTTGGTCTCAATGGAGAAGCTGCCATAGGAAGAGTCTTCAGGTTCCCCCAGCCATGGAGAATACAATGCTCCTCCTAAAACTCACTGTTTAATATTCAACTTTCCACCTGTTTTGTTAGTCCCTTCTTAGGGGTGGCATCTAAGGTGTTCAGTACATGGGACCCAGACCTCAGTCCATTCATTCATCCATCCAGCAGATACGTATTGAGCTTGTCCCGTGTGCCAGGCACTGCACAGGTGCTGGGGATGTGGAGATCGGCAGGTAGTGTGCGCCTGCCCTCATGGAGCTCAGTTCCGTGACAAACATCTAACAAGTGAGCAAGCTGGTGAACACCCTGCCACGTGGGCCAGGATGCCGTGTGGGATAGGGTGGGAGCTGTGTGAGGTGAGCTGGGGCCCGCGTCAGAGGGGCATTAAGACGAAGAATGAAGAGTGGAGTGGGGGAGCCCCGGGTTGGAAACAGGATGCAAGTACACGTAGAGCTCTCTGGTCTTGCTGGGTTTCAACGTTAGATGGTCTGAAACAAGCCCAGAGAAGTTCAGAGCCCTGTCCAATGTCACACAATTCAGGGTAGAATTGAGGAGATAATTTGGGTGTCCTGCCTTCCAGTCATGAGTGTCTGACTCCCCTCTGTGGTCATCTTCTATTTGTTGAAGGGCAAATTAATTGAATAATAACTATTACTACTGTGAATAAAATGACATTGTGTTATATAGGAAAGGCTGCTGGCTCTCCCCCTTTTCCTTAATAAAGTAGCTGATTTGTATTGAGCACATGTTATCTTGGAGAGGGGAAGGGTCAGATTATATACCCTATCCTTACTAGAAGTTAGGTGTGGCCATATCACTATTGGAGGCCACACTGGTTCTGTCAGTGGGATATAAATACAGGTGGTATGTGCAAATTCTCAGAACTGTCCTCAAAAAGAAGAAAGGAGCACATCCATTTCCCTTCCTAGTGGTTGGAATGTGGATGCAATAGTGGGAGCTCTGGAAGCCATTTTGAACCATGAGGTAACCTGGACATAAAAGCCTCACATCGGCAGAGCAACAATATAGGAGGAACCTGGGTCTCCAACAGTGTCAAATGCATACCAGCTGTGTCTTGCTTCCCAACCGACTTCTTGAACTTGAGAGAAGAATTAACTCTCTTGTTTGAGTCATTCTTATTTGGGTTTTTCTGTTACAGTTGAACCAATTCTTAACGAATACAAATTAAATGATATACATATTTGGCTTCCAAGTAAGAGCAAATTTAGAAGATTCAAAGAAAGGGTATGGGATGATTAAAAACAGCCCTGGGCGGTTTTGCTCAGTGGTTAGAGCGTCCTCCTGCGGCCCGGAGAGACCCGGGTTCGGTTCCCGCTAAGGGCGCGTACCTCGGTTGCAGTTTGTCCCCAGCCCTGGTTGGTCGTGCGGGTGGCAGCCACTCGATGTGTCCCTTTCACATCGATGTTTCCTTCTCTCTTCCTCTCTCTCCCTCCCACTCTGTCTGTACAAAAAATGGAAAAATGTCCTCGGATGAGGATAAAAAAATAAAAAATAAATAAATAAAAAACAAACAAACATCTGAAGGCTAAGAGCTATAGCTCAGTGGAATACTACAATCCATGTCTATTTGGCCCCCAGGTGCATGGGGCCGGGCTGGGCCTAGCTTAGCTGACTTGAGCTGGGATGGCTGGATGTCAGTTAATCTAGGATAGCCTCCGCAGTGTTGACTGGGCACCTTAACTCCGCTCCTCTGTCAGGTAGTGAACGTGTTCATCTCATGGCCAAGGGCAAGAGCGGAGCAGGCCCAGCTGTGCAAGCACTTTCCAGGCTTCTGTTGGAGCATCATGCTTGCTCCTGTCCCATTGGCCACGCAGGCATTAACTCATTCGTCCACACAACGACATTATCACGTGGGTACCGTAATCCCCTTTTACCGACGAGGAAACCAGACCGGAAAGAGGCCAGGCCAGGTAACTTGCTAAGGCTCTGACTCTAACCCAGGCAGCTGGGCTCCAGGGCCCTGGTCTCAGGCCCCCAAAAGCACTTGAGCAGAGGGCCTAAGAAATGGTGGCTCCCACTCTCATCATCGGGGTTGATTCCAGGTGTTGGTCCTCTGGGGTCGCCGGTGCCTGGAGAAACCTCCTGGCCGGGCTGAGATGGATGGAGCTGGTCCTCAGGCCTGAAGTCCACACCAGGTTAATCTGGGACGGGAGATGCGGAGGCAGCGCTGTGGCCCGCCCCTCCCTCCCTGAGCTCTGATTGGCCCGACCTGCGACGGCCCCGCCCCGGCGCCCCGCCCCCGGAGCCCCGCCCCTCGGCGCCCGCCGCGGCCGCAGCCGCGCGGTGCGAACTTATTTGTGGAGTTATTAATTACTGAAGGGCGCAAACCGTGCTTCTGTGCATAAAAATATGTTTGAGCAGTTTCTACTTAAACTTTAAAGAGAACGTTAATCAATTTTATTTTAACAAAATGACCTTAAGCAGGAAAGAAAAAAAAATTGGTGTTATTTGCCCAAACAGGCAAATTAATTTCTCTCTCTTGAGAAATCCGAGAAGTTTCCAGAAATAGCTATGCATAATTTACACCTGCCCTGGCCGCTCCTGGCCAAGCCCAGTCACCGGCCTTACCAGCCCCAGGCCCAGAAAGAACTAGAAACAGGTCCTTGCCCTGCGTCCAAGCTGCCCCCCCCCCCCCCCCCCCCCGTCCTCTGCCCACTCTGTCCATGACCTTGGGAAACAGGCGCTGAGCGGAGGGGAAATGTGGTCTCAGAGAGGCCGCCTAGTCTGGGTCAAGGTCACTGGGAGGGGAGGGGTGGTCTCCCAATACAGGGCCCGGGAATTCTCAGGAAGCCAAGAGGGTCTCCAGCAGATGACCATCCCCCCACTCGGGCGCCCTACTGAGGCACGTGACCTGCGGTGCCTGCCTGCCACTCTCCACCTCCTGCTACCCCACCCCCAGAGAGTCCCAGGGAGGCCGGATCCTGCCCCTCCGAACCTCCTACTCCACACCCGGAGGCCACACCCCCGAGATCTGGGGCGCTCCAGCTGCCAGTGGGGGTGTAGCCTGGAGTATGGGGCTTGGAGGGCAGAGCTCGGGGCTGCAGGAGCTGTGGTCCGTTTCCAGTCCTGCCCCTAGTCCCGACTTCGGGCGGCCGTTCAGCCTCCCGGCCCTGGGTCCCTCATCTGAACAAGGAGACTGTGCTGTTCCCCACCTTCTCAAGGCTGCGGGAGAGGATGGGATGAGAATCTTAGGAGATGGTCCGTTCCCAGAGGGCAGAGTTCTGTCTTTATGTCTCTGCTGTGTCCCCAGCACCCAGAACAGTAGCAGAACATGGTAGATGCTCCATAAATAATTTGTTAACTAAACGAATGGCACGCGTAGTTAGCTGTTTCACTATTATTACTACTAATATTATTGCAGTGGAATTTTTATTTTCTTATTTTCCAAACACAAAATTAGGTCATGATACAGAAG